TATATACACACACACATACACACAACATTTATAAATATACACACACAAAACCTCCTAGAGAAACAAAGAGATGAGTAACAGCTGATTTGGATTTGTTCTGAACAAATCACGTCAAAGTGACTTTTTTCCCTGCAATGGCAAACTAACAGGACATGTGTTCAGGGAGATATCATGAATTTTTACATTAATGTTTCATATGGGCAATTTCTTAAGGAAAACAGGGAACACACGTTGAGAAGACGCTATTACACATTGGAAAGCTATATTCAGATAGTTCTTCACTGTCAAAATGGTAAATGTATCAATGGCAAATGATTAGCTGTGTACTAGCTAATAATTCTTTAATGACTGACCTGATAGAACAAGACTGCAAAGTGTATTTTCAGCCATGAGGGGCTGCAAGTTTGCTGGAGATTCTGGATGAAAATTCAAAGTTTGACAAACAGTCTAAAAAACATACGATTCAGAAAGTTTAAAGACAAGACTGCAGAGTTAAACTACAGAGAGAAGGAGAAATAAATGAGTGGTTCTTCAGAAAACACTGAAATTCATATTGGTTCATGCACTTAAAAGAACTGACAGTGTCATGCTGTTTTGAAACAAACAGATATCCCATGGGGATGTGAAAAATAAAACAGGTTGTTTTCTACTTATTACTGGAAAGGCTTCAACTGCATTCCTGGGTCTACTTTGAGGAAGACAGTCAACTGAAGAGAGGAACACAAACAAAAATCAGAGGCCTGGAAAAACATGACTTATGGCAGAAGACAAAGAACTGAGTTATTAAAGTTGGAGGCAAAGAATTGCAGGTCATGGCAATCCAAATAACTGGAAGTTCTTGCAAGAAGGAAATAATCTGTTCTCTACACTAAGAAAAAAATAGATAAAAGATGATAGAATACAACTGCTGCAAAAAGAACAGGACACTAGGCTGAACACTGGGAAAAGGCTGCTAAGGATAGGACCTTCCAAGGCCCAAAAATGTATCTGCCAAAGTTTTTAAGAGAAGTTTGGACAAACATCAGTGGAGAATGGTTTTGGTGCCGTTAAGCCTTCTTTGGGAAAAGAGAATAGATGAGGTGACCAAAGCTCCTTCCCACCCTGTTTCCTCTGGCTCTGTGATTACAAAGGAAAATGCAATCCCTCAACCTAGGGAATGTCCAAACACTAGGAGTTGCCATTTGAGCTTCAAAGTGAAAGTGGGATCTGAAAGTGCTGCGCACCATTTGTATGCAAATGACCTCTCTCCTCTCTTTTCTCCAGCCATCACACAGCTCCTCCTCCCACCCCCCACTTCTCACCTCCCCTCCACCTCCACCACGTCAGGCTGGGCAAGCACAAAACATCTTCCCACAAGTACACCAACCTCAACACATTCCACCACACGAGTCCTTATGCATAATCTCACGTCCCCAAGTGGTAACTTGGAGCCTCTAAATCCACAAAAACCAACTTCGTGACACAGATCACACATGGGCTTCAAGGAGTACCAAGGGGAGGGTCACATCCTCCTACCTCCCCCCAAAGCAAGCCACATGCCAAGGAGAGAAAAATAAAATCCCCTTATGCTATGCAAAGTGACTTTACATCTCCACAGTAGATTGTGCTAATTAACACGAATGCAAACTGGCTCAGGGCTGTTCTAAAGGATGCAACTACTTCAGATCCTCTGCTCTGTTCTGAATTACTCCAAGTCCTGGTCAGAAATTGTCCACAGAAACATTTCTGCATCAGAAAAGGCTTGTGCTCCAAAGTGAAGTATTGCCATTTCAAACCCAATTAATTTAGAAAGGAAAAAACCCTCTGCATCTGATCAAAGAGCATGATGAAATATTTTTTTGAATTTCAGGTTTTAATTTGAGAAAGAAAAAAAAATTACTTAACCTAAATGTAATCAAGCTGTTTTGTGAAGAATAAAAAAAAGTTTCCAGCAGATGTGTCCCATGTAGAAATTTCATATAACTGAGACTTAAATTTGTCAGATTTGGTTTATGTTGATCAATGCATTCGTGAGCAATTAGGGAGAAACCAAATCGACAGTGAGACTTGCCTAGGTGTCATTTCTTTGAGAAGTCAGCCTTGAAGTTAAAGAATGCAAACAATTAATATCTCAGTAACATATTTCTTCCATTAAACCAAAAATATCAAGAATTTTTCCATACAGTCCAGTTAGCCAGAAAATTGTCCTGGATAAGGACAATAAGGTTGGGTGGGGAAGTAATTGAAACCAGCAGTGAGGAGAAAGACTTGGGAGTAACAGTGGATGAGAAACTCAAAATGAGCTGCAGTGTGAGGTCAGCCCAGAAACCAACTCACTCCTGGGCTGTATCCACAGGAGTGTGGGCAGCAGGTCCAAAGAGGTGATTCTTCCTCTCTGCTCTGGGGAGACCCACCTGGAATACTGCACACAGTTCTGGTGTCCTCAACATGAGAAGGACATGGAACTGCTGAGGCAAGTGCAGAGGAGGCCACAAAGTTGCTCAGAGCACTGGAGCATCTCCCCTGTGAGGACAGGCTGAGGGAGTTGGGGCTGTTGAGCCTGGAGAAGGTTGTGTGGAGACCTCAGAGCACCTTCCAGGAGCTGAAGGGGCTCCAGGGAAGCTGCAGAGGGATCTGTGTTAGGAGCTGCAGGGACAGGACAAGGGGCAATGGGCTCAAACTGAAGGAGGCAAAGTCTAGGTTAGATGGGAGAAAAATGTTTTTTCCTGTGTGAGTGGTGAGACCCTGTCCCAGGTTGCCCAGGGAGGCTGTGGCTGCCCCAACCCTGGCAGTGTTCACAGCCAGGTAGGATGAGCCTTGAGCAACCTGCTCTGGTGGGAGGTGCCCCTGCCCAGGGCAGGGGTTGGGACTAGATGATCTCTAAGGTCCATTCCAACCCCTGAATTCTATGATTCTATGGTTCTATCAACCCAAACACTTATTTATCATAGCCCACCTGGCTCATTTGCTTAAGTATCATTCTAAAGCATCAATATATGCAGCCAGAGATCCAAAGCTCAGTGCTTCCTCAAGCAAGGAAACCAGATAAATGCACCTAAACAAAATGCAACTGGTGGAGTAACTGGTGCCCAGCTGGATAATATTTATGGTAGATGGATCATACTATGCTGCTGACTGATGTACATCAGAGGCAACAGGTACTATGAAAGGAAGAAAGATACACTCCCTGTTTCAAATTATTTCTGTTGGAACTCCTCTGGCATCATGATTTGATACAGTGCCATTGGCAGCACGTTGCCATGAAGTCATTTTAAGATGGAAATGAGAGATAATTGAACCGAGAAAAAGTAGAAAAGTATCAACGTTGAGAGTATCTAAAATTCCAATGAATAGTGTTCACTGACAGCATGAATGAACTGCATTTTGAGGTCAAAAATCATAAAATTCAAATACAGAAAGAGATTAGACCAGTTAAATATCTAACATCCCACAAATGGGTGGAAGTCACAGTTGCAGAAACAGGGCTCCAAAGCCAGCAAGTCTGCTGGTGCTCTCCATTTCTGACGGAATCAGAACTAAGCAGGAACAGCTCTTTTTATTTCTCCTTTCAAAAAACATTTTGCCTGAACAGAGAAGCCTATAGACAGCTATTTCTGGGAAAAGTTAACCCCCCCAGATTACCATCTCTTTGAACCAGAAACTGGCTATTACTATACCAATGTCTAGGCCTACGTATAGTGCCATGAGATTCCAATTCATTACAAAGGCTTCCAGGCATGTTATATCACAAAAAAACCTGTACAATGGCAACTGGTAAACACAGGAGCCACTGCAGGTTCCTGAAAGTACAAGTTTAATAGAACTGCAAAAAGTCTTATCAAGTAGCTATTGTTCTTCCTAATATCTAACTTAAATTTTCTCTCTCTTCCAATTGTACTCATTGCCCCTTGTCCTGTCCCTGCAGCTCCTAACACAGATCCCTCTGCAGCTTCCCTGGAGCCCCTTCAGCTCCTGGAAGGTGCTCTGAGGTCTCCACACAACCTTCTCTTCTCCAGCTGAACAGCCCCAACACCCTCAGCCTGTCTTCAGAAGGGAGAAATCTGCATTTCCTAAGAAATGATGCAAGATGGAAGAGATTTAATTCTCTGGAAGTGCAAGGTGAGTTTGGGTGAGGAGGGGTTAAAATGAATTAGGCTGAAGCAGGGTCACTCTGCCTTATTAGCTTGGTTATATGGTCTGAGCCTGTTGCTTGCACTGGAACCAATTAAAATGCCTGGTATGTGAGAGTGAGGATTAGGCACGTAGCACCCTAACCAAAGTGTTCAACTAAAACAGTTTGAGGCTTGATTCTTTAATGTGTCCCATGTGTCCCTCTTCTTTCACCTAAGTGTCCTGCTCAGGTCATTACACATCTCATTAGAATGACATGAGCCCAAGCTAAAATTCACTGTGTAACTGCTGACAGCCAATGGACCACTGTGGCAACCTACATAATTTGAGAGCTGCTTGCACTGCACTGATGTACAGTCTTTTTTTGTTCTAAACAACTCCTATGAAGGGGTTGAATGAAACCACCTTGTTGAGAGAAAAATATTGACTCAAACTGAACAAGCAATGCAAAAAATTAGTTCCCTTCTCTCATTCTGAGCCACTCCTTCCCAGCTAAATGGGTGACAAGAAAATGCAATGTTCAGTATTCTTTAACAAACAGTTCTACTTGTGCTGCAAAGCAAACAATGTTTGCCCGCAATTCTTTTAACTACAACTGATCACAACTACAAAGAGAAAAAAGCAGCACTTTACTTTGTCATTATTGCTACCTTTAGCCATTTTGAGACAACATCCTCATGAAACAGGTTTTTCTGGGTTTGCTTACCTCTTGGGTTATCCCCAATGATATTGGTTTTGCCATTCCAGTACCAGAGCAGCAACGTCGCATCACGAGATCCTGAGAGGATGTAACAATTCCCTCCAATATAGGACTCAGAACGAGTGAGGCAGGTCACAACATCCCAGTGGCCAAAGACTACTTGGATCAGTTTACCTGAAACACATGGAATTGATTCATTTAGAACTACACTTTTATTCTTTCTAAGGCAAAAGAAACAGAAATATTTTCTTCATCAAAAAAAGGAACTATAATTAGGAGAACTGTTTCGTCTTCATTTATTTGGTGGAAACTTATTTAAAAGTGCAGTAGTCCATAAAGTCTATAAAAAAATACTTGTAGTCTATAAATATTATACTTCATTCAAAAGCCAAACATGTCAGATGCCAAGGGGTAATGGGTACAAATTGAAAGAGGAGAAATTTAGGCTAGATATTAGGAAAAGGTTTTCCCTGTGAGGGTGGTGAGACACTGTCCCAGGTTGCCCAGGGAGGCTGTGGCTGCCCCAGCCCTGGCAGTGTTCACAGCCAGGTTGGCTGAGCCTTGAGCAACCTGCTCTGGTGGGAGGTGTCCCTGCCCAGGGCAGGGGTTGGGGCTGGATCATCTCTAAGCTCCATTCCAACCCCTACCAAATACACCACTGTTCAGAGATGTCACTGTTCAACAGAAAGGAAAGCCTGGGCAGTTAAAAAGGTGCCATTCAAGAGCCTGTATAAACATGATTGTGATGATTACCTTTTAACCTTAACTAAAAAAAGGAGAATACTTTTAGAAAAATGTAAATTTAGATGCTCATGCACAGTTAATTTCCATGCAGGAGAGGTGACACAGTAGACCTCTGCCAGACCACCCAGCCAGAGCTTGGCTCCTACATGGAACCATCTACTTGGCCCATTCAGGCAACAGGAGCCAAATTCTGCACCCAGTGACACAAAGAAGTGTTATGTGTGATGCCTCTAACGTGTGACCTCAGGTTTCTCAGCCCAAATGATTGTGAATCCATTTGTCCTTTGGGTTGAATAAAGAATGAGGAAGAACAGAAGGGGAAAGAGAGTGATGGGTTTGGAGCACAGGCCAAAAAAGTAACAGGAAATGCATTTCAGAATATAAATAAAGAACTAAAAATTACAAAAAAAGGAAATAAAATGTTCTGAAGAGTGTTTAAAAGTAAGAGGTAACACAAATTAAGCACATCTTCATAAAATGTTTTGCTGCCTGAATTAAAAGTGATTAGTCAATCATTTAATGTGGCTAGTAGGGAACATCTTTTAATGCAGTCACTAAATAACACTTCACAGATTTGTTTCCAGCCACTAAATAACACTTAACCAGAACAAAAGACTTAAAGGAGTGGTTCTGAGGAAAGAACAAAACTAATGTTAATTAATTAACAGCCTGATTTGGAACAGAAGATCAAAGAGGTAATTGCATTAAAATAGAGAAAACCAGAAAAAAAATACCAAGAGATATGTATGAATAACTTTAAAAAAGGGAAAATACTTTAGTACATGAAGAAAAAACAGAGTAACCAGATGCAACTTAAAGGAAACCTGCACATCAAGTTTAAAATACAACACTGGCGAAACTTATTGTGCTACTAAAATCGTCCAAGAGGAATTGTGAGATAAAGTACCATTGCATGAGCCTTTTCTGACTGGCTGTGGAAAAGTCCTGGATGCACATTGACTGTGGAAGGATGAGAAACTCAGGGCTCAAATCCCCCACACCTCTCGGCGAGTCTGGAATAGCACTCCCCAGTGTTGATGTAGAACATTGTTCTTGACCAGGCAACAGTTCGTCCTAAAAGGTTTCTGACCTTGGTAGCTATGAGCAGTGATACACTCACAGGCTACACAACCTCGTCTTGGCAATATACAAAGTTTTTCCCTGAAAATCAGAGTTGCCATTACATGGTTTAGATTGGAGAATAATTACGTGATACATTTTTCAGTTGTATTGCCATAGGTATTCAGCTACCTGAGATGATTTACATTTTAGAACACAAGTTTATGCTATAAACAGTACTGAGTTTCAATTGTTTCTATCTTTATAGGTTCTAGTCTAGAAAACAAACATTTTTCAAGGCTATTTCCTTGGCAGTTGTTTCTTTTTCGCCCTGTTAGTCTTACTTTGGTACTGTGCAACTTAAGGTTCAATCAATTCCATCAAAGCAAGAAATAAGATCTTGCTCTTTTGTATTAGTAAAAAAAATTAATTTCACAATTCCCCAAGTTTGTTTCCTTTATGTGAGTTGCCCTCTCTAAACAGCAACATCAAACTTTACCGTATGCACTCAGACATCCCTTTCTGACACAACAAATTTTCTAGCTAATGTTTTATTTGACACCTGTACTACGAATAATTAAAGGACAAATAAGACTCAAGTCTGCACTACAAAATCTAAAACACTGTCTAGACTCATTCCCACTGCTGGGGGAAGTTTTTATCATGCTTCTGCTGTCCTAGCTGTGCTGAGAACCCATGATTTATGCTAGAAGTATTTCCTGTTAAAAACCAACCAAACAAGGCCAAAAACTAATAGTAAAATGGTTCCTTATTTTCTGTAAGGGCTAAAACGTATTAAACTGAACACTGGTGATCACATGTCATTCTGCATTACTGATCACATCATCTTTTCCCCTTGCTGTTCACTACTATAGTCTCATTTTAAATTGAAGCAAAATAAACTGCATTTAATTCACTTCATTTAAGCTAGAGCTTAATTAGATAGAACAATAGGTGGAGTTGTTGTTACAAACAGGAGACACACAGGAGACACAAATCTTCTGAAACTTTTCTTACAATGTTGTTTGGGTTTATAATTCATAGAATCACAGAATTTAAGGGTTGGAATGCTCCAGTCCTCCCAGCAACTTCGTGGCCTCCTCTGGACTTGCTCCAACATTGGCTGGTCAGATATCAGTGGTATTTATAATTGATCACAGTCAGTTACAGAATGAAAACCAACCAGAGCTAAATTCAAGTGAGCTCTCTAAGAGTAATTAGCTCTCCTGGTGTGCAAGGCTTCATACAAACTCATTTACCTGTGCAAACTACAGTGTAAGAAGAGGGATCCCTGTCCTACAGGTTGAAGTGTGATGCTCTGCCTAAACAAGAGCTCCTGAACTTCCTTTTGTCACCATCCCACAAAAATGAGAGCACACAATGCACATTAGCAGCAGGTATGGAAAGATGTGACAAATATTAATAGAAAAATAAATGCATACTCCACTCCCCATTCTTTCTCCATTTCAAACAGTAGGCTGACAATGAACAGAGCAATCTTTTATGCTAGTCCCATTTTATTAGAGTACATTACCTGAGTCAGTAGAATAAACTCGGAAACTCTTGTCCCAGAAGCCACAGACCAGGATGTAACGATTATCAGAGGTGATGACAAAACACTGGGAATGTACCTGAATGCTTTGGTCTAAAAGGTCAGTGATTTGCCTTCTGTGCATCCCTGTATTGCTGGCTGAACAGAAACACATACAAAGACATTTCAGCATCCACTTTCACAGAACAAAAGCACATTTTAGCAACTTATGTTCAGCCCAAATATATTCCTCATGGATCTTATTTGGGTTTTTTTTGTGGCAGGGACATTTTGCTTCTCCTTCTACTATAAAATACTCATTACACTTCTGGCAACAATGTTCATTCCTTGCAGTATATATTCTAAAATACAAGAAATCCTTTCTTAAAGTCAAATGTAGCTGAGAGATGTGTGATATAAGATTGTACAAAGGCATAATATATAACAAGGTAATAAACTTCCTTCCCCTCTTCTTCTACTGTAAGAAATTACAAATTAGAAACAAAGCAAGGAAATGCAACAGTAAGACAGGATCTGTCTCATCTCTAGTGGCTCAAATGCAGCAGAAAAGAGAATCGTGATCTCAAAATCAGACACCAGTTGTATTTTAGGAAGAGATTTTTTTATGGAGATACTAATCAGGCATTGGAATGTGCTGCCCAGGGAGGTGGTGGATTGACCATCCCTGGAGGTTTTCAAGGTGAGCCTGGATGTGGCACTTAGTGCCATGGTCTGGTAACCACAGTAGGGTTGGACCTGATGATCTTGGAGGTCTTTTCCAACCTGGTTGATTCTGTGATTCTATTTCAGTGCAAGCACTGTAACTTAAAAGCAGAATAACTTCAGTAAACATCACTCGTGTTTCACACTTTTTTGAACATTACACAAAAATTAACCATCTTATCTCTACAATCACCTTTAGGGTTGAGAGAAAATATTTGCCCTACTCTGATCACCTGATGTTTTATTTCACAGAATCAATTAGGATAGGAGAGACCTCTGAGATCATCAAGTCCAACCTTCGACCAAACACCACCACATGGCACTATATGCCATGTCCAGTCTTTCCTTAAACACCTCCAAGGATGGTGATGCCATCACCTCCCTAGGATCATCATAATTTACTCAGATAATGCTGTATTGGGAACCCACAGAATGGACAGGAATCAATTAGTGAACATATTTCATATTATATTTTGGCCTTATTGATTGATGGATGAGCATATACATATATAAGTCCCTACAGATACATGTCATGAAAATCCTGTAGGAAGAACTTTGAATGTGCTTTGTTCCTGAGGGAATCTGATTTCCATTCCAGGCAAGTAATTTCTCCTGAGTTTGTCTGCACCATTACTTCCACCCTAGTGGTTCCCCAGACCTGTCTCTGTCCTGGTCTTGTGCTCTTTATCCTCTTTCCATTTTCACACCTTAGTTACCCCCTAAGCCTTGGGCTTATTCCACTTACTCTGTATCAAATGCTTAATTTACTTATGATTTGCTATGCTTAAAATATTGATACTGTCTTGTCCATATGAGTAGCAAATAATTTATCAAGGTGTTGCCACTTGCTCTGCAGGTAACACATAAACTCCTAACAATGCATTATAAAATGCACAGTGAAACATTCTGTATGACAAAAGAACAGCAAAGAAATCCTCCAAAAACATGCATATCATCACACTCAGTGTGGTTAATACCTTCAAAAAAACTTCACCTCAAAAAGAGGTCGAGTATCTGTATCACACAGACATTGCTGCTTTATGTCTTCCTGTGCAACTGGAAAATGAGGATGGCAGGAATCTCTCCTTGTGACTAAGACAGCTACAAGATTCTTGCTATAACCATCAAAGCCTAATTTTGTGATCCTCTTAGGTGCCATTTCTAGGTAAATGTGTCTAGCCACAATTAAAAACCTTTAATATTATCTACATAATTACTTGCTTGTACCCGATGATGCTACTTAACAGTGACAAAAAAAGCCTTAAACCTTTTAAACTATGTCCACTGTTACCACAAGGCTGATTTGAGATCTATTGCATGATGGGAATATTAAACCATTTTTCAGGAAGGTGAACAGTAATTTTAAATGTGTTTATATCAGCCAGAAGCCAAAATATTTAGCAAATTAAAGGCATGCCTAAAAATGGAATTTTAATTTTAAAAGTTTGAAAAAAGCAAATGAGAACAAAAGTTTTATTTCCTTCACAATATGTAAAAAAACATCATCGGATGTTCAATGTGATTTTGGGGGGTTTGCTGTAATATTTATTTATACTTCTACGATCTATTTGATAGCAGATTTTAAAGCAGAATATACATTTCCTGCTCCAGGGATTTATTTTTTTGGGGATAAAATCTATTTCAGGAAGGAAAGGAAAGCTACAGCACATGTCCTCCCCATTATAAACTAGAACTATGGCATTATTCAGAGAAGAATTGATATCCAAAACTTTGGAACAACATTTGATCAGCTCCATAAAATGGTTTCATATGCCCACACAGTTCCTAATTTGGTTCTCAAAGAGCTAACCCAGCAAAAGGTTACACAGGAACACTTTGTACCTACAGACTGACCCAACACAGCTCCTACTGGGATATGCAGACTAGTCTTGAGATTAATTCTCACTCCATGACGGACCTGTCATTCCAACCTATCCAGGCAAGTTGACTTTTGCTCTGATTTTTCCATGCTACTTTTTCCCTTAAACCTGCACCTTGAAACAGCTGTATTTTAAGGCTCAAGCCTAAAAGAACTTGGTGGGGGCACAGAATCCTATTTTCTTTGCTTCTATTCTACAACCAGTTTGAGTTTTGGGGTTAGGTTATTTGAGTTTTTCTTTTCTGTTCATGTTTAAGGTTCCACTTCCACACTACAGCCCAAGAATACACTCCCCAAAGTCAGGTCTTGAGGAAAGAACTGACCAACCCCTAACCACGCTAATAGAAAAATCAGCTCTCTATAAACTAATATCCCTCCATAATAAAAAGTCATGAATTGAATCTATTACTCCGAGTCCTTAAATAACAGAGAGACATTCCTCCACCCCTTTTTAATAAAGGCAAAACACACACAGATTTAAGCAGTGCTGCCGACCAAAGGATGCAAACCCCTTGAAAAATGAATGCTAATATCTCCACACTAAAACAGAGTGGGCAATATATTTCAACTTTGCAACCGCTTTGCAATTACACATTAATCCCCTCAGCCTGAACAGCAGGTCCATGAAGAAAGGATTGATCTCCCCTAATGATGAAAGCCTGGCACCACGGTTTTATTTTTCACGAGGCGGTGCAGTTAAGAACCCCACTGTTATTATGAAAATTTCCTCAGCAAAGGAGCTCCATCACATTACCAGAGCACCAATTCATCATAACGCGCCTCGCTCCTGCTCATCAACAAGTCTGAGTGATGAAAAGATCCAATATTATCCTGACAGTACTTCATGCACATTCTCAATCACACATTATTACAGCATCCATATTAATTTTCCCTGACACGCGTCCTAGGCCTGTTCAAATTAGGCAAACCAACGAGGGGGAGTTGATGAAATACCAGCATAGCCACAGCTCATTGCATTCCAATTTGCATGCAAATGGTTTATCAGAAAAATTCCATTCCCAGCAACCAGCAAGTGAAAAACAACCGTAATCTACACTTCAGGGCCACCATACAGAGCTTAATGAATCGCAAAGAGAGAGGGAAGTGACAGACCTATGAGAGGATCGATTTCCACTGGCAGCTGGTAAGGCTGGTCCTGTACAGCACCTTGATGAGCTGGAATTCGGGAAAGAAGATTTTAAAACTTTGCATTTTTTTTCATACATCAAGCAACAGCCATTTTATAAATCAAAGCTACATCTGGGTTTTTTTTAACTAGTCAAGATTCTTCTGCACCAACTGAATTACAAAAATTTTAAAAAAAAAAAAGAAAATTCCAGGTGCTTTTGTGGGCTGCTTATTAAACATTTATTTTAGATTAGTGCTCTTCTGAATGTATGCCATCAGCAGCAGCTCTGGTCCTGAGCCATAAGCTCTAGCAGATGCTTTACTGGCAAACCTCTCCTGTCGCAACAAAACAAAATTAAGTGGTAAAGAGGACTGAAAACAAAATGTGACAACCATCTGCTGACTGTAGCAAATACTATTTTCCTCTTTACTTTTTTAAGCACTGCTTCGAACAACTGAAGCACAAAGGACATCTTAAAAAAAAAAAGGCAGTTTATGATGCAGACAGGGAAATCTCGTAGTCATCCAGCGTTTAAGGATTCATTCACCAAAACCCATTTGAGTTCTCGGTTTGCATGGAAGTTAAAATATTAATTCTGCCAACCTACATTTCATCTGGGCACCTGGTATAGCAGTGAAATGTTTATGGGCTGAATTCTTTTTCAGTGTTAAAAAGAAAACCTTTTTTTTTCCTCCCACAGCTTCACTAAAAACAACCAAGCAAACTGCCCCACACCTCCCAAACAGTCACGATACATTCTTGGAAGAGAAACCAAACCAAATGGCTGAATACTTGCACCTATGATTATTCTATCCTCCATCCACAGCTTAGTATAAAAGTTAGCATCATAGAAGGGTTTCTTAAGTGACTGATTCAGAAGTAAATTCACATTGCTGCTGCCATGAGACACTTCCCCAGAACAAAACATGAAGTCCACAGGACAAAACGGAGCATCCTGCTGGGTACCAGGGCCATTAGATGTCAGCAAAGCCACCAAAATCATACCCAAGGGCAGGAAAGGGATTTTTAATGACACATTAGTGACAACTGGTCACTTGGCAACTTCACATTTTATCATGATGCCTCATTAGTAAAGACAATGCTAAACCCACAGCAGGAGAGAGGGAGTAGTAATGATATCTGCCCTCCAATCCTAGCAGATCTCATGTTGGGATAAAACTGGAAGCCAAAAATACTGAAGGTTAGTCTCAGGACTTTGATATCTTAAGCACAGTACTCCATTAACAGCCTGAAGCTGATGAGCGTGCTCTCAAAGTGGTGTGAGGGGAGATTCTGTTGGGGTTTGGTTGCTTGGCTTTTGTTTGTCTGGATCTGTAGGTTTTGTCTTGATCTGTAGGTTTTCTGGAAGTCTTTGTAAAGGCAAGGCAAATGTAAAATGCCTCTAAATGAAAAAACAGTGACTCAAACACACAGCTTACTGTTCTCCCTTTCAGAGGTGAGGGAAAACCCAAAATCTGAGTGTCTTGTTTAACTCAAACCAGTGGATTATTACACTCAACAACTGGTTGCTTGTTCACAGATCATCAAACAGCAGAACTGTATGGAAATCAAAATCAACTCCTACCACTTTAGAAGCCCTTCTTTTTCCCATGACTGTTGTATGTCCACAAAGGCCATTTTTTAAAAGCCTTGAATATTATATATCCAAGGTCACATGTCCAAGGTGTGAGAGGATATGTTCATCCTCCTACCAAAGCAATCTCAGGAGCCCTGCAAATAGTTCTTGCCCTCAACTTGTTATCTAGACAAGTCTCCCTTCCTACCTTTCTTTTTAAGCATTTCTTGGGTGGGTGAAATAATATATCGATGTTTCTCTTTGTACAATGTTGAGAGGCAATTTGTAAGACATAGGAAAAATTGTAGGAGTCATCTGGCTTGTTTCAAAAAGTAATCACAGACCATGGGTCAAGATTCTTAGCAGGAATTTCAGTGATGTAAGTATTACTCCGGTGCAAAAATCTTTTAGTTAAGTTACTTGAGCAGAAGCTCTAAAAAAAGAACTTTCTTGAAAAGCCTTTGACCAAACTTACTGCAGAGCACTGAAATAAACTACCTTTGATGGCTCAGGCCTAAGACTGTCACAGTCAGGGAAAGGGGAATGAATGTCCTTAAAATTAGAGAACATTAGATTTAAAAGCAGAATTACTTTATTCTCAAGTCCAACAAATTTTTAAAGAAAAATCAATTTGATAAGTTGCTCTGCAAATGGCTCTGTTGTTTTCCTTTCGTATCGACAAAAACACAAGCACCTAATAACTTTGGGATGTTTAAGATACAGACTTAATGAGGTGTAACTCCCATTGTGTGGCTTTAACATCAGAATATGGTGCTTATAATCCACAAGAAAATGACAGAAGGGTTTTCAGACAAGTCCTACATGATTTAAAACTTTGACACCATATGGTTCAACCTTCCAAAGGCCTGAAAAACAAATTTAAGAGAAGTGTGTCTTTATCATGACCAAACAGTGATAGATTTCTTTTGTCTTCTTGCACAGTGCCTGGTGGCCTGGAAAGCAACATACTCCTCTTCCAAACCTTCTGAGTGCTACACATCTTACTATACAACAGCTCAGATCACCTTCTCAAGAAGAAGCTAAGTCCACGTGTGGAGAGGATGTTCTGCCAGTGAACTTGCTCTTTCCACTCGAAACTGAGAACAGCTCTGCTGCAAACTGTGAGGAGACAACAGAAGCTCTGCTTGATGGCAGGAGTATCTTAGGTAATATACTTACCAGGGAGATTGTGCCACTTGTTTACAGCAAAGAGCCTGTTTGCAGTGACGGTGATCACAGCAGGAGTGGCCAGACCAGGCTGGGTGTTAGCTGCTACATGAGTGACTGGGGAGTTGGACGGGAACTTTAGGACCATGATAACATCCTGTTGAGCTTGTTCTGTGAACATCAAGGGACTCTGCAGGAGGAGATACTGTTGAGTGCACACAACAAGAGCCCAAATACACGGGAAAAGAGAACACAGGGAGGAGAAAAGACAGGACAAGAGAAGGAAGATTGGATTAAAACATGTGAGATCTGATAGCAGCTGCAGTGAAAAGCAAGCGCAGTCAGAGTGGACAGGAATGTGGAAATCACCATTTTAGCAGAAGACCCTTCACTAATAACCTGAGGACCTTGTTGAACACAGAGTGTCTATGCACAGACTTTGCTACAGATCACAGCAGATTAAACTTAGAGTTTTCAATCACCTATCTCTGCTTTAAAAGAATTCTCCTTCGTATCTGCAGAGATAGTATGTCATGGAAAGCAATGCCAAACTAGAAGGGGAAACCAAAAAAAAAAAATGTGAGCAAAAGAAATTCCTGCTCCCAGAGATTGTCTCAAGTTGCATTAAATTGGCAGACTGCAATTCTTTACAAGCCAGATGAGAACATGAAAGCACATTAAAATAAACAGATACACACATACACTAGATATATGTTCTGTATACATTTCTGGTGTACAAAACTAAGATTTATGAATGCAAAGCAGAAGACTTCACTGCAAATGTGTTTCAAAGGACAAACATAATTAAATGCAGTTGTAAAGAATATAAAGTGAATGTGATTACAGACACTATCCTGCCTTGGTTCCAGGAATACTAAAGGGAAGGAATGAATTCAGACTCTCATTTTTGACATCAAATTTTTTTGGAGGATTTAGGTTTTGTAGTTTAATAAGTTGAAAAGTTTAAGAACTTTTCCACTGAGTTCTCTGACAATGCTGCAAATGTCAAAACAAAATATTGAGGACCTTAGGTATCAAACATAAGGAAAAGCCAAACCTAATAGGTCTGTGACTCTGTGGTGCACCTAAAAAAAAAAGATGTAGTGATACAACCACCCTGGTCACCAGTAGCCACATTGCTCAAGTATTAGCAACTTTCTAATAACCAAATTAGAACACTAAGGAAGTGTCCTTGGCTATTTTCCACACGCAGTATTTCATTACATACATGTGCATGTAAGTGCACACGTTTAATGCATCTTTATACGGAACTAATAAAAAAATTAAACACATTTGCATTTTTATTATCACTCCTTTTTAAAAAGTTATTAAGAGTACTTAGAAAAACATATTGCTCTATGAATTCCTATTTACAGCCTTTGCATAAAGGTGTAAATAAAAGCAACTAATAAGCTACCCAGACACCCTTCTGAGCAAGTGGCTAAAAGCCAATCAATATTATGAGTTAATCCTCCCTGGATGCTCATTCAATTAAAGGTGTCAGTAATGCCTCATCTGATGTGGCCTCAATTAAATCCAGCTATCTGATGGTTGAAAACACAAGGGGATACAGCAACAGCAGCAAACCCAGACAAATAGGCAGCCTTCATGTGACTGCTAATTACTACACCTGGTGTATATTATGGCTTGTGCACTTCACACAGCACGTGGCAGCTTCCAGCCTGGCTGTGTTCATGCATACATGCACACACACACACATGGAAACTGAAAACTCAGTAAATAATGCAACCAGAAACAATTCAAGACTGCGGCAGGAAAAATCTCCTTATGGTATTTCAGCTCCAGGAACACTATGTTTAAAACCACTTAACATAGTACTATTGCAAAATCTTGTCTTAATACCCACAAAACCAGTCTAAGCAAGTGGAGAGCTAAAGGCTTTTGAATGTGTGTACCCCTGCCCAAAAAAACACAGGAGGTCAGTTAGGTAACTTCATAGAATCCAACTTCTTCTATTACATACTAAATCTTGACTAATTCCACATCAGGAAAAATATTACAAGGAAACCACACAAACTGCTTCCTCCTGTCGAATTTATTTATGTAACAATGGGTCTGACCAACACATCAACAACCAACTTCTCAAGTTCCTGCTCTTCCTGAAACAAATCCCTCTAAACCAGAGCAAGTGCCTAGCGCACGGCACCGCGACAGATGGACACACGTGTGGCATGTAGTGCATGATGAAAGGATTTGGGCTCCCCAACATCCCTCTCCTCAGAGAGAGAGCCCTGTGGGTTGCACACACAGGTCACTGCGGGGTCTGAAGCCCTGGGACACACTGTGGGAGGTACAAAGGACCAGCAGATCACAAATCAGCACCATCCGCTCTGCTCATCCCATCCATGGGATCCCATCCATGGGATCCCATCCCATGTCTCCAGCACAGCTGCCCAAGCTGCAGAGAGGGTGGTGGGGATGGGGGACAATCAGCTGATCAGGTCTCTGTACAACACAAAAGCATTTGAGGATGTCTAGTAGCTCAATTTGACAAGGAACTTTCCATTTCTCAGGCTTCTCCATCACAAGGTCTGTCAGCTACTTTGGAAATATTTCAGATTTTTGAGTCATTTTTGTAAACCTTCTTCACTTCAGATATGTTTTAACACTAATAACCTTAGTCTGCTTGAGTAGGACATATGTCTTAGAGGACATACAAGAAGAAATATACAAATCCTTTTAATATATGGCAGTGTAAAATGTCCATCTCAACAATAAGGGAATGTAACCTCTGAAAACCTTGTGAATTAGCAGAACATTTGCTCCACTTGTCAGAATATCACTTAACATACTTAGCTCTGGATCTATGACAACACGAATGATATTTTGAAAAGCAATCAGTAATAAAATAATAGTTTGTATAATAAAATTATAGCAGACACAAGTAGAGGCAAAAGGGAAAGCATGTTAATGCTCACTGCCTGGATTTTATCACCCTAGCTTTACTGCAAAACACATTTAGTCACATTTTTTGCTGTGTATGTTTCAGCTCATGAATCCCTAGTAATCCTGGTTTTAGGGGAAAACCTATGCCTGGGGGAAAAGACAAGGAAGTTCCACCTCCTAAATCCATGCTTCTTGGGGAATCTGCCAAAGGCTAACTTAAATTGTCTCCATGATGAGTGGCCCTCACCTGTACAGGTATGGCATTAACAAAATCAACTGATGAAGTGTTCTTAGATCACACTGACAAAAAAAAAAAGTCTTCACCAGAAATCAATGCAATCCTTTCAGCAATAAATAAAAGAATAGTTAAGCACTGCACACACTCCTACCAAACTGTAACTCATCTGCTGGTTTTAAAAACATCATTCCACAACCACATGAAAGCAAAATGAAGGGGCCAGTTCTGCAAGTTTGAGAGAGCAAAGGAAGTGAGCACAATAGCAGGTCACAAGGAGTTAACATGGTACTTACCACCTGCATGGCAGAACTTCTTGGAGGATGTGGTTCTATGAGCAGTTGGGAAGGAGTCTGTCCAAAACTTCGGATTTGAGCTTCAACAGCCTGCAAAAGGCACAGGCAGGTTTGCATGTTAAGAGGTGCTAATTACAGGCAATAGAACCATAACTGTCACCTGAAAATGTCATTCCACACTTCTGGCTTGTTTCATGTTGAAAATCAACCCCGTGTGTTCACTGTGGGGCTAAGTGCTTGGCACTGGTACTAAGAATGAGGTAATCATTTTAGCACTGTGGATGCTATTTCCATGAGAAACTCTGCAAAACCTCATCCTGCTCAATGATACTAAACAGAAACAAGCTATTATAATCAGAAACCCTCTTTATTGGCTCCATTTTTCCTTCCTAACACTGGCTTATCCTGTTTGCATCATAACTCAAAAGCAAAAGCTAATATTTAAAAAGTCTCTGTAGCTATTGGGGGTGTTCTACTTTCTATTTAAACTCCATTGCTTAGTTTCACATAGTAACTACAATGAAAGCAATACTGAGACTTTTTTTCTTACTTTCAGGTTTATTCAAAAGGTTTATTCAAAAGTGCAAACAGCTTTAGGATGCATTAAACTCCCAAGAGCAAGACTAATATCAAATGCAGCTAAAGGGGAACGTGAAGGTATAACTGGAAGGGTTTTAAAGTTTCTCTGTATCTTCAGCAATATCATTTAGCACTTCCTTCCTAGGGAATACATGAAAATATCATCTCATGCTGAGAGATTTCTTAAAGATAACTGCTCTGAAATGTGTCAACTTATACCACTAGCCTAGGCCTATCCAACTAGATTTCTACAAGGCCACCCCTTGGCCCAGTGGCTTAAAGTTAACACTGAGCAGTCAAAATCATAGAATCATAGAATCAACCTGGTTGGAAGAGAACTCCAAGATCATTAAGTCCAACCCTACCGTGGTCACTAGACCATGGCACTAAGTGCCACATCCAGTCTCAGCTTGAAAACCTCCAGGGATGGGGAATCCACCACCTCCCTGGGCAGCACATTCCAATGTCTGATCACTCTCTCTGTAAAAAATCTCTTCCTAATCTCCAACCTAACCCTCCCCTGGCAGAGCTTGAGTCTGTGCCCTCTTGTCCTGCTGCTGGTTGCCTGGGAGAAGAGACCAACCCCCACCTGACTCCAACCTCCTGTCAGGGACTTGCAGAGGGTGAGAAGGTCCCTGGAGGTTTTCAATATGAGACTAGACACATTTTATCTACAAGAACACCATCACATTTTTCTCTCAGATTCTTCTTTCTCATGGTTCAGTCTTTCTTGAGGTTCATTACACTTAGATTTCCTGTTCTATTTCAGCCACTCATTAAAATTTGAGACAATGGAATAATACTTAATGCTGATCTCTTTCTTAAAATCAACTATTTTTAGATAACAATAAAGACCATTACTAGGAAAAAATTGGCCTTCTGTTAGAGAAATACCAAAGCCAAAAGTAGAATGCACCTGAAGCCTTAAAATTATCATTCTCTGCTAGGAAACATGCCATACAAAACACCTGACCTTATTACATTTGGCAGGACTTTTGAAACCTCTGAACTCACAGCAGTTCAAACGACTCTATGAACCAATTCTAACACTCTTGCCCACTCTGGGAAGCACCATAATCTTCAAAGAACTGGTGAATAAGTAAGAAAGCTGATGAACTCTGACACACACTGATTCAAGGAGTACTTTTTGAGGAACAGCAATATCAGATTGGTGATAAAGTTCAGTAAGTCCATATGAGTTCCCTTCCTGGTGATGAGACATGCTACATTAAAATTCAAATCTGGGGGTTTGTGACTTGAGGTATCAAGGGAATCACAAAGGCTTTGAGGTCTCTGGAGACATGAGGCATTACCAAAGCAGCACCATACTCGTCAGCAGCTCTACCCTCTCCACAAAAAGCTTAGTTTCAAAACATCCAGATGTAAAAGATCTGCCTACACTTACTTGCAGATTAAGTGGCATATTTTTACTGGCAAATGGGACATCTGCATTGCCACTGAGGGTAGAAGCAGGGGTACAGGAGGAGCAAAATGCACACTGCTTGGATGCCAGTTATTCTATGCTTGTTCTAATATTTGGGGCAAATCTGCAGTCTATAGGATCTACTATTTATTTCCTATTAAATATAGATCCAATCAGTGAGTCAAAATGAATAAAATATTCTCCCCCATGCATTTCTTTTAGAGCTGAAAATAGGGTGGATAAAATGAGGAAATAGCTTCAGATTTGTTAGATTCCTTGTGTATTGACTTGTGATTGATATAGAAACTTCCATTCCCAAATGTCCATGTTCAGCCTTTGAAGGGAGTCAGAATTTTGTCTTCACCATGAAATCTGGTATGTCCCTTAATTTTCAATGATACCTCTAAAAACTATACACTCTGACACAGTGCCAATACTAAGAAAGGGAAAATGAAGCACAGGATATCACATGTTGATGCAGAGTACAAACAAGAGCCCAGACTGATGTAGCACAACAAATCAGGTGTTGTAACTGCTTTAGTCAATGGAAGGTCAACAGTCAGAATGAGATATTCCACAGTCCAGATCTCAGAGGAACTCACTACCTTCCAGCAACATAAAAACTGGAAGAAAGATGGTTATGATTCCACTTCTTGCTCACATGCACAATGCTCATCATAGTCATGCTCCTAGACCACACAAGAGCAGCACAAGGAACAGCTATTTGTCTCCCACCCATCCTCAGTGCAGAAGAGAATCTCTCTGGGATATTAAGAACAAGTAGAAAATATTCTACTCAAGCAGCCAGGGGATAGGCACTGCCTGTTCTGTCAGACCTGGTGAAATTGCTGACCAATGGGACAATGATTTTGCCAAAGACTGCCTTAGAGGACCACAAATTCTCCACTTTCCATCTTAACAGACAGATTCTACCTCCCTGTTTATGATCTAGCTTGAGTCTGTGATTTATAGTTCCGGCACAAACAAGTCTTTTAGACTCATTAGGTTCCATCTGGTCCTTCCAAGAAATACGAGAGCCTACAGCTCCAGGACTGCAAAAGTCCCCTGACACAATCTTTCCCTTTCAGCCAACAGAACTGGAAGAAAAATCCACATTCAGATCATGCCATACCACACGTAACAAGGTTTCATAAAACATCAAACCTGTACCTAGAGCACAAAAGCACAGATACTGCTTTCTGTACATTGTCTTTGCTGACGTCTTCAGAGATCCAAAAGGAATCTGAAAAACTGTTGAGCAAAAGCAACAACACTTGGACAAGTATGTCTAGACAGAGTGGCTAAACTTCAGAAAAAAAAAAACTTTGGCCTTCCTTCTAATTTCCAAGAAAAAAGGTTTCTTTATTTAGCTTCAACATTTCTTAATAATGACCAAGAGATTGTACTAGCAACCCCAAATGTTTCCTTCCTTTTCCCAGATTGTACTCAGAGTCAATCCAGATGTCAATTCCACATCCTAATGATCACTGAAGCATAGAATCAACCAGGTTGGAAAAGACCTCCAAGATCATCAAGTCCAACCCTACCGTGGTCACTAGACCATGGCACTAAGTGCCACATCCAGTCTCAGCTTGAAAACATCCAGGGATGGTGAATCCTCCACCTCCCTGGGCAGCACATTCCAATGCCTGAGCACTCTCTCCCTAAAAAATCTCTTCCTAATATCCAACCTAACTCTCCCCTGGCACAGCTTGAGTCTGTGCCCTCTGATGTCTCAGCCAGAAGGATCACATGGAGAAGGATACAAGATGACCTCCCTCTGCCAGCACAAACATGACACTGGAGCAAGAATCAACCCCCATTCCCTCAATTTACATGACAACAGAAAGAGCCACCAGATGTCACCCAGACGTTTGTTCAACCTGTCAAAGAAAATCAGGTAGGAGTAGGGAATCTTTTCCTCAGAGATATAATTAATACTTCCTTTGAAGAAAACAACCTACCACTTACCTGAGAATATACAGTAAAATGGGCAGTCAAAATGTCATAATTTGCTTTCTCAGCTTCTCATTGAGTTTTCTTCCAAACAGCACTACAAGCATTAGTCAATACTACTAAGAGACAGGCAGCTGCTTCTAGCAGCAGAGGAAGGACATGAGTTCTCACACTGCTGAAGACCTCTGGAGCATAAAACCAGTCTAAATGTAGGTAGAAATATTTGGGAAATTTGCACAACTAGTTTCACGTCTATTAAAGGCACGATATAACTAGAAAGGAATACCCTTTGTTTGAAAGGCATCTTTAGTTCCACAGACTCTCCCTGCTGGAAGCATACCACAACGTAAAAGATAACATCATTCAACATTTTGTTTCACTGCTTCTCAAATAGCTCAGTAAAACTGCCTTCTTCCTCTCAAGTCTCTACAAAAGCAAAACTCTGGTAAGGTCAGAATTGTTCCAGATGCTACAACAAGGAGCAATAAAATGAAACAAGGTAAAGTAACCCTTTACAATAATCCACACAGCAGGAGTCTCAAACCACGTACTTACAGAACATGGTACTGCGAATGTTGATGAATTTATAAGCATGAAAGCCATGAGCAAATTTCACAAGTGAACATTCACCACAATACCATGCTCCTAAAAAAAGTCTCCTAGAGCATCTCCTCTTTAATTTTTTTTTGGGGGAGGCGGAAGAGGAGGGGAGGAATAGGGAAGCAAATTAAAAGGAAGAGTAAAGAAACTTGAAAACTTTGCTTAGCTATAATGTAGTTTCTAAGCAGTGCTTAGCATGGATATTTTCAGTGCCTGAACTTACCCCCTAATCTAACTGTGAAGAAAGTTAATTCAGCAGAATGCAGTACCCACCAAATACGGCTGTAAATTTTTTGGGGAAGGAGGGTGATGGGGAGGTTGAACATATGGATGCAGTTAAGGTAAAAACAGATGTTTGTTACTTTTCTTTGCAGCAACACTCAGAAAGTAAGTCAAAATTGCTTTTTTTTCATGTTTATGTCTGAAAGAACTATAAAATTAAATATGAGGGAGGGCGGGTGGAGGGGGAACAGCAGTGAGTGTCACAGAGAAAGAATGAAACGCTCTCCAGTTTTGAACTCCAATCCTGAAA